ATGATCACCGGTCTCGTCGGCAATTTGCTGACAATTATTGCCCTATGCAAATATCCCAAAGTACGCAACGTTGCGGCAGCTTTTATTATAAGGTATTTACATATTAATTTAGCTCAACCTTTTAATTAAACATTTTAAGTAGAACCACTTTTTCAATAAATTTTATAGTCTTTGCGTGGCAGACTTCGTGTTCTGCCTCCTGGTGTTGCCGTTCGACTCCATCAGATTCGTCGACGCGAGTTGGGCGGACGTGAGATTTCTGTGCGTTCTCGTACCATTTTTAAGGTATGGGAACGTTGGCGTGAGTCTTCTTTCCGTTGCAGCTATCACTATCAATAGGTACGAATGAAACTTCCTAAGTTTCTCAAATGAAAAAATAAAATCAAATGGATTTGATAAACAAATTCTATTTTTACTTAAGGTACATTATGATAGCTCATCACGGACTGTATAGCAAAGTTTATAAAAAACATTGGATCGCTATTATGATCGTGTTTTGTTGGATTTTCTCATATGGGATGCAAGTACCTTCTTTGTTGGGAGTTTGGGGTAGGACATAATATATTTATTTAATTTGATTTGTCATTAATAATTTTGTTAATTTATGATTTATTACGAATTATGATTAAAGATAAATATTTCTCACTTTTTAGGTAAATTCGATTACGATCCGAATCTGGACACTTGCTCCATCGTGAGAGACAGTAACGGACATACGTCGAAAACTTTTCTTTTCGTCACCGGGTTCGTCATACCCTGTTTAGTGATCGTCGGATGCTACACTAAAATATTTTGGGTGGTGCACAGGTAGACATTTAAATAATTTATCTATTCAATCGCAATAATATAAAATAAATGTATTGCTTATTGAAAGCTAAATATTTCTATTTATAGATCCGAGACGAGGATGCGAAAGCACGCAGCACCGACGATAAAATCTCCTCACACACCCGGAAGAGATACCAGAGAGATTAAACAAAGGCGTAGCGAATGGCGAATCACGAAGATGGTCCTCGCAATCTTTCTCAGCTTCGTCGCTTGTTACCTTCCAATCACTATCGTTAAAGTCGCTGACGTCGAAGTCAGATATCCAGGTACTATTTAATTAACTCGCCTGCTTTCATATATTAATTAATTAATTAATTACTTTGCTGTATTATATGACGCAATGATTTATTCCCTCAGCGTTTCACGTTCTGGGCTATCTTCTCCTGTATTTCGCGTCATGCGTGAACCCGATCATTTACGTGATCATGAACAAACAGTATAGGCAAGCGTACGCGGGCGTGATTGGGTGTTCCCGGATATGGCCGAGCCTAACGCCTTTCGGAAGTAGCGCGCCCGGTCATCATCAGCAGCAGCAGGACTACGGCCAAGGTAACTTCGAGCACCGTCGCGTGGTAACGCTCACCAAGCTCTGATCGAACGCGAGCTAATCGACCACACTTCGCTCACTTCGTAAGTCAAGGGCACAAATTCGCTGCTTTATAAGATTGCCATTGTTTTTTCTTCGCTACACTTTGTCCCTTGTCTGTGTCTCTTCTTATTGTTAATAACATTGACATTTTTATGCTATTTAATTATATACATAGCTATTTATATACAAATACATGTTCGATCATATAATTGATATAATATATTTAATTCAAACTGTTCTAAATAAATTCTAAGCGATTCTTATTTTTTCAACTTATAGTCTATATACGTATAGTATAATATAATTGAAGTTGAACATTTTGTGTGATTAAAGCAGAACGCAAACGCATCGAAGTTAACCAGTGAATCATCTCGTTTCGTCGGTTTCCTGCATTAACACTTTCCTGCTTGCTGCTGTATGACTCGATTGTTTAAGCACGCGTTCGAAAGAGAATTAGCATTATTGTGATTACTGATTTCCATGTTTGTACGTTTTTTTATCAGACTACAGCAAGACGATGGTGTCGACTGTCTCCATCGCCATGAACCCTGTTAGGAATCCTTACTTCGAAGAGGATCTTTAATTTTGGGATCGTCTCAGCCAAAAGACAATATTTTTATAATTAAAATTATAAACAAGCCAAAAAAAGACTATGAGAAAATGAAATTCTTTATGTAAATAGAAAATAGAATTATTTTAAGGATATATAGTATTAACTGCATAAAATTAACGATGAAGCAGAATGAATAGACAATTAAAGATCGTTAAAAACTGCAGTGCTATTAATGAAA